TCTCCTATGACTGCTGCCTTCTTTTTGTGTGGGTGGAACACGGTCACTGGCTTTTATTTAAAAGACAAAAAAACCCCAGAATTTCAGTGCGCAGGGATGACTTTCAAGACCCATTGCTAGAAGGCGGTAATGTCTACAGTTGTGTTTTCAGTTGGTGATTACGGCTGATTTTAATGCGAGCATTACTAATGAAAGTTACTTCGCCGTGGCAGTGCTTATGCTTGCTTACAGCAGCTCCCGTGTTCATCTCGGTAATAAGCGCAGAAGATCCTGTAATAGCTGAGGAAATATGTAGCTTTAAAAGCGCCAGTGGCGTTTCAGGCAGCATTCCCTCTAAGCTGAGTTACTGTGAGCTAGCTCACAGTTCTTTAGCCCCCAGCTCGCACATTTTTTGTCTTCGGTCAGGAAGGGATGGCTCCAGAGCAAACTAATTTATGCAGGAGCCAAATCGCTCGCTCACCACATTAAGGCCAGTAGCTCACAAAGTAGAATTTTTGCTCCCAAGACTTCACACCTTAGAGGGAGCATTGGCTTCGGGTTTTGTGTGAAGGACCAGATCATAAGAACATAAGAGACGCCAATGCTGGATCAGGCCAAAGGCCCATCCAGGCCAACACTCTGTATCACACAGTGGCCAGAAATACCAAGTGCCATCAGGAGGTCCACCAGTGGGGCCAGGACATTAGAAGCTCTCCCACTGTTGACCCCCCCCCAAGCACCAAGAAGACAGAGCATCACTTGCCCCAGAGTCCCTATCTGATCCTGAGCACAGTGCAACTAGGGTGGATCCTCCATTGTTCTTTGGGCAATCCCTGAACTGCTCAGCCTTTCTCCTCCTCCTCCCAACATTTCAGGGTCCCGTCATGTCACACAGGTTGGAATGGTGCAAAGTGCCCTGAATTCCCAGTGATCACTGATTTGCCAACGTTAATGTATCATGCGAACTGACTGACTTCGTGCAATGCGCTCTTTGGTAGATTCGCTTCTAAGGCACTGGGGTGCATGTTTGCCAGAGACTAATTTTAGAGTTTGATAATTTTCTAGAAGATCATCCAATGTCCCGAAAAGAGCGGGAACTGCTTTAGCGTCCTTTTTGACATCTGTAGTACATTTTAAAAGCGCCTCATGTTGATTTTTGTGTCCTGGTAGCCACAAATACTTGAAACGGAAATATTTGATTAGAGAAATAGTCAAGTGTAGTGTACTAGTCAAGTGTAGTGTGGAATGCTATATTCAAAGTTTACATGGAAATTATTTTGATGGGGGTAATGTTTGTAAAAATTCAAGGATGCTATTTTATTTATTTATTATTTCAATTTGCTACCCCGCTCAAACCCCCTAAGGGGTCTCTGAGCGGCTTACAGATTAACCTTTATACCAAATTTATGGCCACAGAAACACGGGGTGGGGACAATCCCTACCGGCACCCAGTGGAGGCACTGGAATTCCCGGGTCAGCTTTCTCGTCGGCTCGACGGCTCGGCAGTCTCTGGCTCCATTTTTCTTTTGACGGTCTTTCTTGTGGTGTGTCAGCAGGGCCCCTTCGACGTGCCTCACACTCCGGCGCGGCTTTGGCTCTGTCCTTCCGGCTCCGCCACGCCTGCGCCGTCCATGCTCCTCGCGTCATCCGACTCCGCCTCTCCACCACCCTCTTTTCCGTCGTTCGAGTTGTACCGGGACGCCATCTGGCAACGTACATTGTTTAAACTTCAGAAAACCCCACAAAAGCACTGAAATCTGCCCTGACATAGATAGCCCATCAGATCTCGGAAGTTAAGCAGGGACGACTCTGGCAAGTACTTGGATGGGAGACCTCCTTGTTTCTCCATTCTCCGGAATCACTTTTTGGTGCTAGTCAGCCAAATAGGAACAGAACCTTCGCTCCATGATTACCATAGTAGATGGCGTTGGTGGCTTCTGCCAGGTCCTAGAGGCTACGTACATTCATACTCCCTGTGCTCCGGTTTTGGTGAAAGATACCCATCATGGCAGCTTCAGTCTCAAGTGAGACTTGAAGCTGGATTGAAGTGAGTATGAGGGGCTGTGGCTCAGTGGTAGAGCACCTGCTTGGCATGCAGAAGGTCCCTGGTATCTCTGCTTAAAAGATCTAGCAGTAGGTGATGGGAATGACCTCTGCCTGAGACCCTGGAGAGCCATTGCCAGTCTGAGTAGACAATACTGACTTTGATGAACCTGGGGTCTGATTCAGTATAAGGCAGTTCCATGTGTATCATACTTCTTTCATCAAGCAACAAAAAACACTTGCTTGTTCATTCGAAGTGCTATCAATAGTCAACAATGTCTGGTTTCAAGATGGCTTCCTGTGGGGGCGGGGCTGTCACGACCACCTCTTTTAAAGTGAAAGGTGGACTACAAATAAAGGAATAAATAAAATATTACCTCGTTTTTCGGTCTGTTGTTCAATACACCTTGGGCCTAGCTAGACCAGGGGTGTCGAACTCATTGGTTATGAGGGCCGGATCTGACATAAATGAGACCTTGTTGGGCCGGGCCATCTGTGTCATAAAATGTCATGCCAGGTAGCGGAGATATAAACTTTATAAAGGACACAAATACAAAGGTTTTCTTTTACTTAAAATAAAAACACGCTTAAAACATTAGCTCTGTAAGCTGCAAACCTACTTTTGATTTATTGACATTCACCACAGAAATCCCATGCTCAGAGTTCTGAGTCTAGGACCCAGGTTAAAACATGAAATGGCTGAGTGATTCAGAGAGTCTGGCGAAGCAAGCTATAATGCAGCAGCAGAACTGGAAGCAGGAGATGGCCAGTTCCACTGTGGGACTGATCTGGCCCCTGGGCCGCATGTTTGACACCCCTGAGCTAGACAATCCCTTTTGCCTAGGCATAGCTAACAGTGCTGCTAATCAAAAGGGGGGGGGGGACACTGCAATAAGATGCTGACTATTGTAAATTTTCTAATTAATTACAATAGTATAATTTATAATATTTTGACACAGATAGGTTTATCATATCAAAACAAGCAAGGACTTTAGGCAAAAATCAACAATTGTTAAAAGTACTCTTATTCATAGAAGAATCATCAACATTCTTCTATGGAGAAGAGTACTTATACCAATTGTTGATTTTTGCTTACAGTCCTTGTTCTTTTGGATTACGCGATACACCTATCTGTGTCAAAATATTGTAAAATATATTGTTAGAAAATTAGCTAAATAGTTAGCATCTCATTGCAGTCTTTCCCCCCTTTTTGATTTTTACTTACACATTCTAATCCTTCTCATGCTTGCTTCTCTAGGACTAGCAGAAGTTCTGGGTATAGTACAGGGGTGGCCAAACTGCAGCTCGGGAGCCACATGCGGCTCTTTCACACATATCAGCTGGGAAAATGAAGGAAAGGCATACCTTTTCTCCCTCCCATCTATTTGCTTTGTTTCTCTCTCTCTTTCTTTCTACCTCTTTCATTCTTTCTTTCCACCTCTCTCTTTCTCTCTCTTTCTCTCTCTTTCTCTCTCTTTCTCTCTCTCTCTCTCTCTCTCTCTCTCTCTCTCTCTTTCTCTCTCAGACAAATAAATATCATTATCAATATCTGTTTTTTAATCATCTTTATTAATTTTAAATTAATGTATAATACAGCGTAATACAGTGCATCCATCTACAAGAATGTCATCTAAATGGAAAGAGTTGAAACCTACAAGGTTAACCACTTCAGATAAAGAGGATTAGGGGGGAGAATATCTAGAATCTGTAAGTAGGAGACTACAGGGAACCAAGTTGACACAAATGTGGAGTGGTGTGGGGTATCTGATTGTGCACACCTGAGCAAATCAGAAATTTTTGCCATGACCAGGTGTTCCCATAGCTTGTCCTGCCAGTCTGTCACTGATGGTGCTGCTGGAGATTTCTGTTTTGACCTCTTTTGTTTTTATTTTTGGCATATAATGTTAATAAAAAAAGCAAATTTGCATATTTTAAAATTAAAACGTGCCTGTAATATTTGCTCATGTTTTGCGGCTCTCAAAACACCTGACGTTTATTCTATGTGGCTCTTACGCTGAGGAAGTTTGGCCACCCCTGGTATAGTACTTGGGAAGTACACAGAATCTCGTTGCTGTACCGTCAAGAAGTTTGCTTACAGAGTAACCCACCATGTAGCCCTGAATCCCAGCCAGTTCTTCACATGCTTTGGAATTAAGGCAGTATTTATTGGCCAGGTCTCAGAAGTGAGCACTTTATTGCTGCAGGATATAAAGCCCTGTGCAGGCTTTAACTGCGGCTAGAGATGTAAAATTTCCGGAAATTTTGAAGCTCCGGAAAAAAAACCCATTTTTTTCCCCCCCCCCCCCCCCCCCGGAAAAAAACGGAACTTTTCAGGAAAATTGAAAAAAATGCTGCATTAGCGCTTCTTTTTTCTTCTCCAGATTAAAAGTCATTCTGCTACTTTAGGAACATAAAATATGACTATGGACATTTTTTTCTTGGCATGAAATTATCGCAACTAGCATATTAAAAACATAGTGTATCCAAACAATTATTACAAACAGAATACCCACCCACATGCAAAAACAAAACGGAAACCTTTTTCTTCTGACAATAGCACCTCCAGAGGAAGAAATGCATCTTGTTCTTGCATTGGAGAGTTCAGTTTGTAACCTAGGACTTGCTTGTCCTCAGTGCACAGAAATTAGATCAATCTGATACCATACATCTTTATTAGAAATGATTTGGAAAATATTTGAACACCTTGTCTTAAAATATTTTATTTATCATGTTAAAATAAAACGTTCCATGATCATTTTTTTCCCCTTTTCTTTTTTCAATTTTTCCAATTTTTCGGAAAAAAACAAAAAAGGCTTCGGGGAAAAAAAACGGGTGGGGGGGGAACGTTTCCCCTCCCGAATTTTCCCCTTTTCCCCCCGGGCCTTCAGATCTCTAACGGCCGCTTGATACCACTTCCAGCTCTTTCTTCCACTTTTTATCAAACAGCCTGAAATACCCTGTATTTGCGCTTCTCCTAGGTACAATGGCTCCCTTCCTAACGGCGACAGAGGGCGTCGGAAAAGCAGGTTTGCTCTCTATAAACGACCCAAAGCCAACGGCGTCAAACCCAGCACTGTTCATGTGATTTCAACACCTCAGGCATCCAAGGTATGTGACTGGCTCTCTGTGTTTGGAAGATAATGCTGACCTTGCAAGTGGCGACTTGGCCGTGTTTCTCGATTGGCCATCTGCTTGTGCTTCTGTGTGTTTCATAATTCTTCTGATCCTGAAGGACGTGCCTGAAGATGTTCCTGGCTTGTCCGTTATGCAGGTGATAGTTTTTTATAAGCTGGAAGCCTGCAAAGAATGAGGATGGGGGTGGTGAGGAGGTTGGTTTTATTTATATTTTAATATGAAAAAGTCCTGCTTGAGGCAAAGGAGACCCCTCTCCACACAAATCTTCTCATTTATGTCCTTATTAAATTCAGCATGTTAAGCCGCCCTTCCCCGCAAGCAGGGCTCAGGGCGGCTTACGTCAAAACAAAGAAGAAGAGGAGACTGGATTTATACCCCGCCCTTTCCTACCCGAAGGAGTCTCTCAGAGCGGCTTACAAACTCCTTTCCCTTCCCCACTCCACAACAGGCACCCTGTGAGGTAGAAGAAGAAGAGAAGAGATTGGATTTATACCCCGCCCTTCACTATCCAAAGGGGTCTCAGAGCGGCTCACAAACTCCTTTCCCTTCCCCTCCCCACAACCAGTACCCCTTGAGGTAAAAGAAGAAGAAGAAGAGATTGGATTTATACCCCCGCCCTTCACTACCCAAAGGAGTCTCAGAGTGGCTTACAAACTCCTTTCCCTTCCCCTCCCCACAACAGACACCCTGTGAGGTAGAAGAAGAAGAAGAAGAGATTGGATTTATACCCCCGCCCTTCACTACCCAAAGGTGTCTCAGAGTGGTTTACAAACTCCTTTCCCTTCCCCTCCCCACAACAGACACCCTGTGAGGTAGAAGAAGAAGAAGAAGAGATTGGATTTATGCCCCGCCCTTCACTACCCAAAGGAGTCTCAGAGCGGCTTGCAAACTCCTTTCCCTTCCCCTCCCCACAACAGATACCCTGTGAGGAAGGTGGGGCTGAGAGAGCTCTTGACAGAAACTGCTCTTGTGTTAAACACAATAATAATCCATTAAATAAGATTGAAAGCTACCAAAACAATATATTTTTCCAGCAATACAGTGTCATCATCGAAGAGGACGAGAAGTTTCTGTTCCTGCCAGCCCCCGGATGAAGGGGGTGCAGAGGGCTGAGTGGGGGGGGGGGGTTACGAGAATGCCAGCGGTCGCTGTTCTCAACCAAAGGCATGTGGCGGAACGTCTCTACAGTAAGATTCAGTTTTGGGGGACCTGAGCAGACCAGTTTCTTCATCTGCCTCTGGCTCACTCCATATCGCCCCCCCCCCTCAAAGAGAAGAGGCATGCTCCGCCCTAGTTCAGGCGTTATAAGAGCCAGTGTTGCATAGTGGTTAGGAGCACGGACTCTAATCCGGGAGAACCAGGTTTGATTCCCCACTCCTCCACATGCAGCTGCTGGATGACCTTGGGCAAGCCATAGTTCTGTCAAAGCTGCTCTCTCAAGGACAGTTCTGGAAAGAGCTCTCTCAGCCCCGCCTACCTCACAGGGTGTCTGTTGTGGGAAGGGGAAGGAGTTTGTAAGCCGCTCTGAGACTCTGATTGAAGGGCGGAGTATAAATCCAGTCTCTTCTTCTTTTATGTAACACAAGCTGTTTAACATACACGATGATATTTTTCTGCCTCCCTAGGATGTCCCCTAAATATGTGTAAAGCCCTGTCTTTATCCGTTGGTTGCCTATTTTATGGTTGGTGTGAACCTCCCAAGTCAAATGTTAGAGTTCTTTGGGGGGAAGTCATCCAGGAACTGGTTAGGTCACACCCTGCTCGCTCGATAGGCTATGCAAATTTCTTTTGTTGCATGGCTCCTATTGGAGTGGCCGTGGCCGACCTCTCCTGTTCCTGCATAGCCCCCGCGCTTGATAGGACTACTGGAGCTCCTGCTCCAAGCCATAATAGCCTTATTACTTAGAAAACTCTCAAAAATATATACAAAGGGAAAGTCTCACCTCATCAGAGACTTTCTTTCCCACGGAAGCTTCTTCCCGCCAGAGCCAGGGACTCAAAAAGGGGAGAACACATCGGCCGTCGATTCACCTGGAAAGGGAGAACGTGGGTTTCCTTTGCTACCTTATTTCCATATGCTCAGTCATAACACTGGCTATTGGCATGCCTCGACAACTCCCCAGGTGCCGGGTTGTCTAGAAATTTTTGGTGGTGGCAATCATGAGAAAATACGGTCATACCTAACCCTGGAGGGCAGAATAGGAGGCTGGCCCCTAAAAGTTTGGGGCTGGCTTCTTGAATCAAAGAAAATTTGTCAGGGCCTGTGTAACGATTCCTTGTTTATATGTGGGTGTGTCTTTAAAAGTTTGGATGCATAGCTGTATGAAAGTCTAGTGTGGTTGAAACAGGCAAGTGGTGTGATTGGTGAGTGACAGAGAGGGGGAGGGGTTTGGGAAGTGATGCTGTGTGGATGATATTAATGTCTGACAAGAGTGACAGTTAGTGAGTTGAGTGTGGAGAAAGACAGTTAAGTCAGTTAAGTTCTGTCTCTGAGGGAAGGAGACTTATCCCTGTGAAGCAGTCTTGTGTGATATAAGAGTTATGAGTTAAATATTTGTGTGTGAAAGGAGAGACATTCAGTTCTGTGTTATAGGAGTCACAAGAGAAAGCTGAGAGTCAAGGAAAAAGTACAGTGAAAAGTGTTACAAAGTTGCTTGAAACCTCCCTGTCAGTAAAGGAGAAGCTTGTGAGAGACACCAAGCATTTGTTCAAATCATTCCCAGTACTGTTTACATTGTTTACCCTCGCATTTATGCTTTCTTTAAATAAATCCTATTTCCTTCAAGTATACCAGCTCAGTAAAGAATCTTTCCTCAGACCACATAGATCCTCAAAAGCTTAAACCCTCTATCCACCTACCCTGTTATTGAAATAGTAAAGCATAAAGGTTTGAAAAGCCTTATAAATTTCCTGGTGGCAGCCGGATTACCCAGTAGAGAAAAACAGAAAGAACACTTTTAAAGGGAAACCAGACCTCCCCAAATAAGGGGTCATCACAGCCTGTATTATTTATTTATTTTATTTTATTTTATTTTATTCTTTAGATTTGTATCCCGCCCTCCCCGAAGGCTCAGGGCGGCTAACAGGGGCATAAATGCCAGATTAGAACAATAAAAACAATACAACCATACATGCTATAGGGACCTATGAGGAATTGAAGAGGGGAGTGTGTGTGTGTGTGTGTGTGTGTGTGTGTGTGTGTGTGTGTTAAGCCCTGTCTTTATCTGTTGGTGGCCTATTTTGTGATTGGTGTGAACCTCCCAGATTACTGCTGGATAATAATATTTGAAATGAAATGGGATTCAGAGGGTTCTTGTCACAGAAGACGTATCCCGAACCTGTTTATGACTGAGCAGAACAGAAAATTCTGTTGATAGCTCCCCCCCCCCCTTTGGCAAATATTAGGCATTTGTGTTTGTTCGTTTTCTCTCTCTCCTGTTGCCCAGTTGAGGAGTTTTCTTGCTGTATATTTAGTTCTCCCTAGAAGCTAAAATGACTAAGCTGAGTCTTATCATGCTCTGACCACATCCCGAGAAGACAAGCGTCACTGGAAAAGGCAGCGATGCTAGGAAAAATTGAAGGCAGCAGGAAAAGAGAGATGGTTTGACTCAGTCAAGGAAGCCACAAAGGCCATCCGTTTGCAAGACCCGGGCAAGGCTGTTAACAATAGGTTGTTTTGGAGGTCATTAATTGGTAGCAGGGGTGTCAAACATGCTTCTATCAGGCCCGCAGCGGAACTGGCTGTCTTCCGCTTCTTCTTCCAGTTTTGCTGCTGCTGCATCATCGTAGGTTTTGCAGCTTACAGATACACACCTGAACAGCATACTCAAGACTGCAACAGCACAGACGTTCTGATGCAATAATTCAGAGCGAGAGGTGTCAGTTATCAGACGCTGTTAAATAAACAAAATATTGCAAGAGTGCTGATGTTTTTAAGCATGTTTTTATTTTAAGTAAAAAAAAACACCTTTGTGTTTGTGTCCTTTATAAAGTTTACATCTTCGCTACCTGGCATTACATTTCATGACACACATGGCCCGGCCCAACAAGGTATCATTTGTGTCAGATCCGGCCCGCGTAACCAATGAGTTCGACACCCCTGATTTATAGGGTCGCCAGAAGTAGGAAGCAACTTGACCAGTGTTCCCTCTAAGCTGAGTTAGTGTGAGCTAGCTCACAGTTTTTTAGCCTCCAGCTCACACATTTTTGTCTTAGCTCAGGAAGGATGGCTCCAGAGCAAACTAATTTATGCAGTAGTCAGATTGCTTGCTCATAACTTTAATGCCAGTAGCTCACAAAGTAGAATTTTGGCTCACAAGGCTCCACAGCTTAGAGGGAGCATTGAACTTGACAGCACTTTAACACACAACGCATTTGCTGTAAGATAAGGATTAACAAAAACAACAATACAGTCCACAGTAAACAATGACCAAGAAAAAAGAAATAAATAACAATTGTGCACTGACCAACCCACCCAAGAGCTATAGAAAAGAGACTTCAATACAATAAGTAATTCAATGCATGTAATCCATCATAGGACAATACACAAATTCATAGGACAATACACAAATTCATTCACACTTTTCCTAGGTATTGATTAGTGTTTCGGACTTCAGGTCCTTCCTCAGGAGCTACAAGCCAATACCGGAAGTCTCATAGCAGTTTCTTAACAGGTAAACATTATTCAGGTTTTATATGGGCCAGGTCTCCTAAGTTTTAGAAAGCACCTACAAGGGTTGCTACTATGTAAGTTGGACCAAATGCCTCCAACCCTTAGAAAGCAACCAATACCTAGGAAAAGTGTTGGACATCTGACTTCAATGTGGACATCTATTCCAGACTTTATTGTTATGAGAGATTGTTATTCTGGACTTTGTTCTTTCCCTTTGGGATATTATGAATTTGTGTATTGTCCTGTGATGGATTACATGCATTGAATTACTTATTGTATTGAAGTCTCTTTTCTATAGCTC